ACACACACACACAGACGCAGACACACACACACAGACAGACACAGACACACACAGACACACACACAGACACACACAGACACACACACAGACACACCCAGAGAGACACACATACCGAGACACACACACAGACACACACACACACACACAGACACACGCTCACACAGACACACACACACACAAACATACACACACACACAACTTGAGTTAGATTTTGTTGTAAATATGGCTTGCTACACAAAAGAGCAATTAATTCTTGGTTTTATAGGATTTTTTTTTGAGACAGGATCTCACTGAGCTTCTTAGGGCCTTGCAAAGTTGCTGAGGTTGGCTTGGAATTTGAAATCCTCCTGCCTCAGCCTCTGGAGCTGCTGGAATTACAGGCATGCACCACTGCGTCTGGCTAGGACAATTATTTTTTAAAACTAATAATTATTACCGTATAACACTTTGTTTTATAAGGGAAAAAGTCATGTGCTTTGTCTCGAATTAACTTACTCCAGAGAATGTAGGAAATATTTAAATAATGACTGGCCGCYGGGTAGATTTCACAGTGTCTCACAGCCATTATGGTGAAGGCCCAGGACACTAACACATCATCAGGCTTTAATTCAAAGCTCATTTGCTGGTGGCACAATTAGAATCTTATCTTCCAGTAAAATTTAGTTTGAGCTGCTAGCTGAGCAATCACAGACTACACAAATCGCCCCGAGTGCTGGCTCCCTGGCACCACCCAGCCTCAACTGTTCCAAAGCTAATTCACCAAAGGCTGGATCCGATTTCATACTTCATCGACCTAAAAGGGAAAGAAAATGAACCTCTCCAGGTTGAACTTCACATGCAAATATCACCCAACTACTTTAGTAAGCAGCACTGTGACGGGCCCTTCCTGGGAGCAGGTTACCTTTCCTCGCAGACACTCAGCCCAACATGAAGAAGAGGAAGGAAAACACTGCAAAGTATTTCTGCCACATTTCCAGAACATCTTACATTAAACCATGAGACTCTCTACAAAATTAAATGAATAACAGGGTTTAATAGAGAAAGCCTAGACCCGCGGGAAAGGGGAGAGAAACACCTACAGGCCTGTCCGYGTGTCTGGGTGGACAGCGGTGGTCTCCTCCCTCCTCTACCACACAGCAGAGAGCCAAGTTCACAAGGAAACATGTTGGGGAGATTAATGCTTCTCATTAGATACGTATTGAAAAGAACTAAAGTCAATTCTGTACAAACATCCTGTGGTTGTTGTAAAACTACACCAAATACTGGATACTAGTGGGAAGTCAGAAGTTCCAGGTGTGCGTAACACTGATTGACCTGGAAAATAACTGCAAAGGATACAGTCCAGTCAGTGATTCTCCACCCAACAGGATTACCACAGGAATCAAGCCAATGTAAAATCTGAAGATACTTTAATCAACACTATCTCTTTAGCAACTGTGATGACTAGGGTGATTTTTTTCTTTAGAAATAGCAGGATGTTAAATTTGTATCTTTGCAAAAATCATTAAGAATTTAGAATACTCACCACTTCTCAGTAAAACCAGCTCCTTTTTTTATTCTTTTTTTTCCAAAAAATTAAAATCTCACACTACTAACTTAATTAGGAGTGTCTTTGATCCTTAATAAGACTCCTAAATCACAAGAAGTAAAATCAAGAATCAATAAATGGGTTGGATTCAAACTAAAAAGCTTCTTCTCAACAAAGGAAACAATAATGTGAAGAGAGAGCCTACACAGTGGGAGAAAATCTTTACCACACACACCTTAGATAGAGCACTAATCTCCAGGATATATCAAGAACTCAAGGGCTGGAGTTGTGGCTCAGTGGTAGAGTGCTTTCCTTGCATGTGTGAGGCACTGGGTTCAATTCTCAGCACCACATATAAATAAATTCATAAATAAAGTAAAGGTCCATCAACAATTAAAAAAAAAGAACTCAAAAAACTTTAACACCAAAAAAAAAAACCAAATGACCCAATCATTAAATGGGCAAAGGAATTGAACAGACACTTCTCAGAAAAGGATATATAATCAATTAACAAATATATGAAAAAATTCAATATCTCTAGCAATTAGAAAAATGCAAATCAAAACTACTCTAAGATTTCATCTCCCTGCAGTCAGAATGGCAGCTATTATGAAGACAAACAACAATAATTGTTGGTGAGGATGGGGAAAAAGGCACACTCATACATTTCTGGTGGGACTACAAATTGGTACAACCACTATGGAAAGCAGTATAGAGATTCCTCAGAAATCTTGGAATGGAACCACCGTTTGACCCAGCTATCCCACTCCTCGGTTTATACCCAAAGGACTTAAAATCAGCATACTACAGTGACGTAGCCACATCAATGTTTATAGCCCCTCAACTCACAACAGCTAAACTATGGAACCAAACTAGGTGTCCTTCAACAGATGAATGAATAAAGAAAATGTAGGGCTGGGGATGTGGCTCAAGCGGTAGCGCGCTCGCCTGGCATGCGTGCAGCCCGGGTTCGATCCTCAGCACCACATACAAACAACGATGTTGTGTCCGCCGAGAACTAAAAAATAAATATTAAAAAAAAAAAAGAAAATGTAGTATATATACACAATGGAATATTACTCAGCCTTAAAGAAAARTGAAATCATGGCATTTGCTGGTAAATGGATGGAGCTACAGAAGATCATGCTAAGTGAAGTAAGCCAATCCCAAAAAAACCAAAGGCCAAATGTTTTCTCTAATATGTCGATGCTAATTCACAATCAGGGAGGGTGGCTAGGTTAGAATGGAGTCACTTTAGATTAGGTAAAGGGAAGTGAAGGGAGGGGAAGGGGCAGGGGGTAGGAAGGAGAGTAGAGTGAATCAGACACTATTACCCGATGTTCATATAAGACCACAGGACCCGTGTGAGTCTACATCACCGCAACCAGAAGACAGAAATCATTCTCCGTTTATGTGTGATGTGTCAAAGTGCATTCTCCTGTCATGTATGACTAATCAGAACAAATTTTAAAAATAATAAAATAAAAAAAAAAAGAGTATCCTCAGACGGGAGCGTTTCTGGAACCTGGGAGAAATGGAGATTCTCTCTGGAGAATCACACGGATTCTCAGCTCTCGAAGAATTTCCACACATAAAACCGTAGAAGAGACGTGGTCTGCAGTCAGACAGGAGGAGCAAACGTGGAAGGAGCCCGCCCCAGGGTCCCTCCCCTGGGCCCAGCATCCTCTAAAACCCAGGCACTCGGGGGAGCGCAGAGGCCCGTCCTCCGGGACGCGGCTCAGGGGGCAGGGGTCGGGGCAGGGGCTCTGGGCAGCGGGCAGCGGGGTGGCCGCGGGTGGCCGCAGGTGGCCGCAGGTGGCCGCAGGTGGCCGCAGGTGGCCGCAGGTGGCGGCGCCGCGGGGCGCTCACTTACTCGAGCTTCTTGAAGCGCTCGCGGCCCGCCGCCACGTACTTGCCGCCCGTCTGCAGCGCGTCCAGCTCGTGCACCGAGTGGCCGCGCGTGGGCGTGTAGAGGCGCCGCACGCCGAACGGCACGTCCACCTGCGCCGTCAGCTGCTCCAGCAGCACCTCGAAGTTGGCCACCTGGCGCCGCGAGAACACGAACTTGCGGCCCACGTAGAACTGGTCTCCGTTGCGGTACACCAGGATGGTCTTGGCCGGCGTGGTGTCCACCAGCGGGTAGGGCCCGCGCGTGCCCATGGCGCTGCGCGCTCGCCTCCGCGCGAGAGCCGGACCGCGCCAGCAGGGCCACGCGGAGCTGACCCGAGGGTCACCATAGAGGGCAGGAGGGCTGCGTGTGCTGACGCGGGGGCGATTGTGACCCGCGGCCTGCAGGGACAGGACAGGTGAGGGTGGCGGGCAGCTCTGGAAAGAGGAGGAGGAGGGTGGCCTGCAGAAGCGGCGGGAAGGAGAGGGGTGCCTGGCACCGCGACCCTGCTCACTGCGCTGGCGGCCCTGAGGGCGCGAGGCGGGTTGCATCAGGACTACGGGGCAATCAGAAGAGGACGGTGCCAGAACGCCTCGCCTTTCTGAGCCTCGGTTTCTTTAAGCGATTTACCACCTAAAAAGCTCCTAGGTCCCTGGCACAGAGTGGGTAAGTGGTCTGGAACCTGCACGGCACGTGAGGAACTGGGTGACGTCGCTGCTGGTGCCTGGTACCCAGAATGTGACCTTCAGAATGCATGCACTCTGGTGGGGGTGGGGGTGGAAGGCCCTCCCTGTCCTGGTGAAGAGTGGCCAGTCCTTTGAGCTGCCACCATGAGTAATTCTAGAAATACTTGTTCCAAGTGGTCGTGGTGGGTTTAAACTCTCCAAGACWGGAGGCTACATATCCACTGTTGGATACACACCCAGAATGTACACAGTCGTGTTATAAATGTCAGTACCTTGTGGGGTTTAAAAAAAAAAAGAAAGCAATTCCTCAAGAGGCCACCTCTCTTCACAGCCACACCAATAATTAAGCTACGAACCAGTTCATGGCCACAGGAAACACAGAGGCTACTTGGTGCGGTGACCACTTTATTCAGCCACCAGGTGTTGACAACCTCGGAAAGACCTCAAGTGGGCAGTTATTGCTGTGTAGAAATGAGTGTTTTGCACGTGGTTAAAGGTTTGCCTTAAAACCCGTTTTAACTGAGAACCTCATCCTGGGGTCCCCCCGGGGCCGCAGCAGGCAGATGGAGCTGGGGAAGCCCTTGAGTCGAAGGCGGCTCACGCCTCCATCCGGGAAGATGGTGAACCTAGCGTGAGTGATGACGTCTTGGAGCTCCAGGGTCAGGCTGTCGAACAGGTGGTTTTGGTTGGGGGACAACTGGAAGAGAGTCAGAAGGGGGTCCTTGTTGGAGCAGGGCTGTGTGGCCCGAGGACCAGCTCAGCCTGTCAGTCTGGACTTGTGGGGCTTCAGCTGAAGTTATTCAGTGAGACCATTCAGCTTCCAGGGAACCTGCCAGCAGGGGCAGGGCCAAGGAGCACTGACCTGAGGGCAGGTCCCCAACATGTGTCCCTTTAAAGAGTTAGGGGACGAGCTGTTGAGAAGGTGAAAGAGGACTCTGCTGTCCCCATGGTCACGAGGGAGCATCCCTGGCCTCCGAAGTGCCCATCTCAGGCATTTATCCCACAGGTGGCTGTCAGTGCACCACCCCCACCCCTTCCAAAAAGTTAAATATCACAGAAACATGTTTCCATTTATGTCTCTTAACACAACAGACTTTTCTTTTAACAAAATTGATTGTTAGAAATGCAAAAGTGGGACAGAGAGTCTGTCCTTCCTTTTTTTGTACTGGGGATGGAACCCACAGCCATTGCGCCAATGAGCCACTGAGCCACATCCCCAGCATGTTTGTTTGTTGTCTAAGATAGACTCTCACTAAGTCTCACTAAGTTGCTTAGGGCCTCCCTAAGTTTCTGAAGCTGGCCTTGAAGTGGCAGTCCTCCTACCTCAGCCTCCCAAGCCTCTGCCTTTCTCTTATGTAAGTATACCATTCAGTTTTTAAAGTCCATTCATGTCAGTTCATTTCACTCCTAAACTGAGAAGAGGTCTGAAATTGTATTCTCATCTGCACACAAGAGTCTAGGGGAAATAGCTCTGATTGAAGACCAGATCCCCACGCTGTCCCCCACATACCTTGGTGATGGGGAGAAGGGGCTTCCATTTATGGGCTGGAAGAATCCACTTTTTGTTGACCATGTCTTCTTCTTCCTGGGTGGTCAGGATGCACCCGTCCACTTTGCAGCTGTCGGGAGAATTGCCTATCGGAGCAAACAGAGGCACCCTGCCCTGCACATTCCCTCAGCACAGCTCAGCTTGTAGGGCACCAGGCTCCTGTAACCAGATCAAAACCTGGCAAAGAACAAGCCACCGCTCCTTCTAAGCAAACGCAGAGGCGTGACATATAAAGGAAAGGAACAAGCCAGTTCATGTGGCATTGGTGCCTCTCGAGACTGATGCCTGAGCTCTGCAGGAACCCCAAGCAGCCTGCCACATCAGCGCTGGCACACCTGAGCTGCACCCACAGTGTTCCTACTGCCAAAGCTGGATGTGCTCCGGAGGTGGAGTTCAGACTGTGTGTGGCACATCTGAATTATCATGATGCTGGGAAAGAGTTTCCTTTTGAAACATGACAAGCAAAAGAAGAAACCCTGAGCTCCATCAGCTGGTGCTGAGCACCAATGAGGCACAGGATTTCTCAGTTGCCTCCAGGTGATGGTACCTGGTCCCCGAGTCTCTCTCCTGTCTCTGGAGTTTCAGAGGACTGTGTGCCCAGCAGGGTCACAGGATCTTAGGGGAAAGGTCCCCACCCTCTTGGTGAGAAGCAGCTCAATAGAGGTTCTCCGAGACTTGAAGGTCAACCAAGGAGGAGCTTTGCCAAGAACCTTGGCAAAGAGGACACTCACTGTCCACATGCCCGCTTTGTGGCTCATCTCCTGAGACAGGTCCTGGGCAGGTGAGCATGCTCCTGGGGTACGGTGCAAACCCACGGGCTGCAGCTGCTATTTCTGCTCCCTCTATTCACACCTGTGTGCGTGTGCGTATTCAGCACGGTGTGTTTGATGTGGCTGTCATTTGCTGTATTGCTTGTATAATGTCAGTGAATGCTAGCATGCTCCCTCACCCACAGCTGTCCTCACAGTGTCCCAGGGCTGTCCCAAGGGAATGACAGTATATTCACGAGCTGATGCATTTGGGGGGCAACTGGTTGAGTGGATTCGCTGTTTATTGCCTGAGTTTTCTTTATGAAAGGAAGAGAGTGACCCAAACCCTTCACGTGGAAAACTGGAGTAAAGAGGCACTCAAAGCACAAACGCAAACCAAAAGAAAACCGCAGAGCGGCCCCTCCCTGCCCACAGCACAGGCTGCTGCCAGCCACGTTGGAAAGTGGAAACAAAAACCAGGAAATGGGGTCTGAAATGTGGTTTTCCAAAGCAGCAGACACCAAGACTTCTCGATTAATACACACCCTCCGCTGTTGGTGACAGACCTGCCCTCAGTGTACATTGTGCTTCCCTGGAAAAGCTAGAATCAGCAGAAGTCATCATGATTCGAAACATTTAAAAATCATCCCTCCAAAATGTGAAGACAGGCTGCCACCATTTGTCCTAAAGAACTCAGCAATCCCAAGACGCCCCGTCCAATACTAACATGACGTCACCTAGCAATTGTAGAAGCTCAGTAACCTCTTTGGAACTTTCTTGATACGATGACCCATGTGTGCATCTCATAAGAAAGTCAATGTAAAATTTTTCTTATTACCAATTTCTCCTAGTACCAGAAATGTGCAGTTTTAAATCTGTGTGGGTCACTCCTCCACATCTGCCTGCAGCCAGGTGCACTTGGTGGTAGAGCACATGCTCAGCAGGTGCAGGGCCCTGGGCTCAATCCCCAGCACCACAAAAATCACAGTAAGATGTCACACCTGGAGAGAAATGGTCACCCCCCCGGAATCTTCCGGGACCACTGCCCCTCAGCCAGAGGCCTGTCCTCCCTGCTGCTCCCACGGGCTCCCTGCACATGCAGCTCAGAGCCCCACAGCATGGAGCATGGTGGGCGAACTCAGAGTCCTCCAGGCCAACTCTGAGCTGTGGAGGGAGGTGCGCTGCGGAGCCAACGTGACGCTGCTCAGGACCACACAGCACTGGAGGGGAGGCCAGGCGGAGAGCAGCTCCCCTGCCCCCAGGGGACACGTTACCTGGAGAGTAAGCCCACCAACTACCAGGCTCTTCCTTACATGACATTTACCTTTAAAATACTTGGTGTCGATTTCAATTTGAGTTATGACTCCAGGATGTGCCAGCCGGAAAACYGCCCACTCACAACCCTGAACCTGGAGAAGGCCATTCTTGTCATTCTGGAATCCAAGGAAAGGAAGGTCCGCTCAGTCGGCATCATTAAACCGACTGAAAATCCGCAGGTGGAAAATGTTAACATCCTATGTTTGTGCTTTCTTTATGTCTCACACACAAAAAAAAAGGTGTTTCCTGTGACCTAATGTGCAAACCACGTTGTGTATAAATTGCCATCACTCCTTAAATACCTCTTACTGACTTGAGAGTTCRTTTCTGTCAATTCCTGGTGGTTTTCTGTGCCAACTGTAGGTTCATACAGAACATCATACACAGAGGTATCTTATTAATCCAACCCTCGGGGCCAATAATTTGTTTTGCCCTTGCAAAGAGGATATTCTCCTGGTTGCCACTGTCTCTTGGGATGCCTGATTGGCTCTAACCCTTCATACCCCGAAAGCCGAGTTCATGCATCTACCTCGGGAAGCTCTGGTGTGATGGGAGGGCCATCCAGGGGAGGGGGCGTGGCTGAATTTTCAGTGGGATTCAGAGCTGAACACTTGGCTTGGCTTTCCCCGCATTTGGTTTCTTTGTGTCAGCTAAGTTACTGGCCAGATGGAGCAGCTAATCTGACTCTAGTTCCTTATCACCACAGGCTCGCATGGGTGTCTGATCCTAGGAAGCACAGAGACTACAAATACTAAACTCTTGTTTTTCCCTCCAGTTCTACGAACAAATGTACCCATGGCTTCTGGGTCATTAGACCATAGATCCTTTGATCCCTTTTCTGAAGAAACAGAGGAATATAGCAAGATGGACCAGAGCCGGGGCAATGTCCAGCATGTCTGCCCTGGTGGAGGACAGTGTGGAGCTGTACAGAGCCAGGAGGAACTGGAAACTCAGAACCAATGGAGAGTAGAGCATTTAGAAAACTCAAGAGGATTCTTTAAAAAACATTTTTTTTCTTTGATGTTAAATGAAAAGCTTTTTGAAAAGAACTTCTTACTTCTAACACTGGGGGCCTGTCCAGCCGTCTCGCAGTCTCCCAGCCATCTGCCATGGACTTGGGCCCACCAACTCCTACCAGAAAAATTCCGTTAATGGTGCCACGGTGATTTGATCTCAAATGGGAGAATGGATGCCCACACCATTCGATCTCAGATCCCACGTCCCTGAGCGTGGCCACCCAGGTGACTTTCACTGCAGTGACATTTCAGCCCATTCACAGAGTTGGTAAACTGTTTTCCTTTATGGCAACTCTATAGGCCCAAACGAGGAGGGACCACGACTAATGATGACTTGCCCCATGGCACGGGGGCTTTGAATCCCACACYCACACTAATCTCCTCCACCCCAAGCTTCAAGGGCCCATCCTCTGGCCTATGGGGTATTTGATGCTAGTGCCCACACTTCTCCATAAAGCCAGCTCCTAGAATGTTCTCTCACCTATCATATTGTTTGGGTGCCCAAAATGTGCATTGCTGAATCCTACACAGACACCCCCAAAGGCAATGGCCACCAGGTCTACCGGATCTTTGGGATCAGTTGCAGCCCAGTCCTTCTGTCCAGTACCATATACTCTAAGGCGCGCAATCCCCCCATCTGAAAAGGAAAGGTCAGAGAGGTAACTGCGGGGTGGCATGACCAGCAGGGCCCTTGCGTCTTCTCCAGGCTCACCTCCTGCTGGCTCTGCCACACCTGACCACTTCAGTCCCATCACCCCAGGGCCCTGGCTCATGACAGTACCTTATCATGACACCTCCCCAGCTCTCCAGGAAACAGTCATTTTTGAGTCTCAATTTACACGTCTGGCCCCAGGAAGGCTCTTTCTCTCTTTGGAGGTCCTCTCTTTCCTGTCCACCTGCCGCTGCCTGATCCCCAGATGAGCTTTATTCCATCTGCCTGCTCAGCTACTCTATAGCTCTGTTTGCAGTAGGAAGTCACCTTACTTTTTGTTTTTTGGTATTGGGGATGGAACCCAGGGATGCTTTACCGTTGAGCAACATCCCCAGCCCTTTTTAATTTTTATTTTGACACAGGATCCCACTAAGTTGCTTAGGGCCTCCCTAAGTCRCTGAGGCTGGCTTTGAACTTGAGATCCTGCTGCCACAGCCTCTTGAGCTGCTGGGATTATAGCCGTGTGCCACCATGCCCAGCTGCAGTTACCTTTGTTATTTTCCCTCTTTTTAAGCCCCCTCTGTTATCTGTCTCCAGATTTAGAATGTAGCATCCCTGGGGCCAGGCCACTTGCCAAGCTGTCCACTTCTGCACTGTGTCTACCTGTAGCAAGTCAACTCCATGGAGGTGGAAAGTCACTTGGAAATGCACCATAGGTAAATTACAGACCCCACACACCTGGGCACTGGTGTCAGCAATGAGCATCGCCTCCACCCCTCAACTCATGAAAGACTCTCATGTGTTTATTCTTACAGCACTGCACTGCTCAGCGATTTGGTTGAGACTACAAAAGATCATATTTGCAAAATTGAATCTCTGCTGAGAATCATATGCAGGCTTCATCCCTTGCCACTTCTGTTCAATACTGCATTAGAGATTTTATCCAGGGCAATTAGTAGGGGGCGGGAACCAGACTGACGGATTCTGATTGGAAAGGGAGAGACAGAGGGTGAATCCCAGTTAGAAAGGAAGAAGTAAGCTATTTCTATTCTCAGTGTGTATACAGAACATCCTAAATATTCCACTCAAAATCCATTGCTACTCACAAAGGAGTTCAGTAGTGTTGTAGGGACAAGATAAAAATTAGCAAAAGTAGTGCAGAAATTATAATCTGAAAACTACAAATCATTTTTGAAAGAAATTAGAGGACACCTACACAAATGGGAGTCTATCCCATGTTCATGGAGTGGGAAACTTTATATTATTAAGGTGCCAATAATCCCCAAATTGAGCTACAGATTTAATGCAACCTCTGTCAAATTCCCAACTGGTGTCATATAAAACAAATTAGAGTAAACAAATAATTTTTTTTTAAATTCCAGCTGGTTTCTCTGTAGAAATTTACAAGTTGATTCTAAAATATGGAATCGCAAAAGACTGCAAACCACCAAAATAATTTTTGAAAAGAAAAAAGTCCGAAGGACTCAATTTSTAATTTTAAAACTTACTTTACTAATCAAGATAGTTCATTAATGGTATAAGAACAGAAAAATAGATCAAAGACAAAATTGAGAGTCCAGAAATAAACTCATGTGTTTATGGTCAACTAATTTTCTTTCTTTTTTTTTTTTTAAGTTTTATTGCTTTCCTAGCAAAGGAGAAACAGGGGATTCCTGTCCTGAGACTGTGATTCTGCCCATCAGGGAAAATAGAGGACTTTTATTTTTTTTTTTTTAAGAGAGAGTGAGAGAGGAGAGAGAGTGAGAGAGAGAGAGAGAGAGAGAATTTTTAATATTTATTTTTTAGTTCTTGGCGGACACAACATCTTTGTTGGTATGTGGTGCTGAGGATCGAACCCGGGCTGCACGCATGCCAGGCGAGCGCGCTACCGCTTGAGCCACATCCCCAGCCCTATGGTCAACTAATTTTCAACAAGAGTTCCCAAGACATTCCATCGGGAAAGAAGAGTGTTTTCTACAAATGCTCTTTAGACAACTCATCTGATGCAAGAGAATGCAGCTGAATCATTTCCTCACACCACCTACAAAATTTAACTCAAAATTCACCAAAGATGTAAATCAAAGATTAAAATGTTGATCTATTCCTTTGAGCAAACATGTAATCTATAAAACACACAAAAACCACAGGAATATTCATTCATATCCATGATTTGGTGCTGATTTTCTAGATGTGACTCTGAAAATATAAGCAACAAAAGAATAGAATGGGCTGGGGATACAGCTCGGTTGGTAGAGTGCTTGTCTTGCCCGTTCTATCCCCAGCACCACACACACACACACACACACACACACAAGAATAGAACAGATATGCTGAATTTCATCAACATCAAAAGCTCTTGTGCTTCAAAAGACCCTGCAAAGAAAGTGAAAAGGCACTTCACAGAATGGGAGAAATTGTTTGCACATCTTGTATCTGATAAGGGACTTGTATCTATAATATATAAAGAACTTATATATGACTTGATAATTAATTTTTAAATAAGCAATAAGTCTGGAAGGAAATTTTTCTAAGAAAATATACAGATGGCAAATAAGCACATGAAAATATGCTCTCTTGGGCTGGGGATGTGGCTCAAGCGGTAGCGCTCTCGCCTGGCATGCGTGCGGCCCGGGTTCGATCCTCAGCACCACATACCAACAAGGATGTTGTGTCCACCGAGAACTAAAAAATAAATAAATAAATATTWAAAAAAAATTCTCTCTCTCTCTCTCCTCTCTCACTCTCTCTTTAAAAAAAAGAAAAGAAAATATGCTCTCACCATCATTAGGCATCAAGGAAATGCCAATCAATCAAAACCACAATGAGGTCCTATTTTGCATGAACTAAGATGGCTACAATCAGAAAGATAACAAGTGCTGGGAAGGAACSGAAGAAATCAAAATTCCCAGTAGGAATGTGAATGTTGCAGCCATTTTGGGAAAGCCCAGCAGTTTCTCAAACAGTTAAACACAGAGACCATATGACCCAGAAATGCCAATCTTGGGTATATACTCAACACAAATGAAAACCTATGTCCACACAAAAGCTAGTGAGGGTTTACAGCAACATCGATCCTAGGAGCCAACAGGTGGAGCCATCAGCTGGTGAATGGGTAACTAGAATGCTGTGTATGTACTGGTGGAGATTTTTTGGTCAAGAAGAGGCATGGAGTTCCCGTATATGCTACAGAACCTTGGAACATTATATGAAGTGAAAAAAGAGACGAAATGTCAAAAAATGTGATTGTTTTACATGAAAGTTTCAAAATACTCAAACCTATCAAGATAGACAGTAACTTTAGTTGCTTAGGGCTGGTGAGAAGGATGTCAGATAAAGGGCATAGGATTTCTTTATAAATAGGAAAATGTACCTGTGACATGAATGTTGCTACGAGATATCTAACCTGATCCACTGGTTCTCCACACCCTGGTTAACTTGGTAATTTCTCATTAGCTACCTATTGATCCCTCGAGTAAGGTAAGAATTTCCTGGGGCACCAAGAGGGCAAATGACAACCTAACACTGGGCAGCTCCGTTACTGATCGGTGTCATTTCACAAACATGCCGATGCAGAATAAAGAAGGGCACGGCTACAGGGGCCGAGTAGCACTTACCTGGGAAGATGTTGAGTCTCACGTGAGTCCACCTCTGCTGGGAGTTGACCAGGAAGTAGTTGTGGCTGGAAGCAGTGCTTCCTGGCTTAAGCTCCGTCATAGGAACCAGGGAAATCCAGTCGTCAGATTTTAGCTGGCAAGAGACACATAAATGCCAGCACAGTAGCTTTTAGGAAGAGCAGATTTTCTCATCCACGTGCCCAGGGCTCTTCAGGGGCAGAGGTGCTTTGGAATAGAGTAGTGATGGGTGCCTGAAGGAGAACTCTGACATCATCACCAAGAAGGTCAAGCCCAGGGCGTGACCACGAACACCAGGGCCCTGCCTGGGATCCTTCCCTTCCCACACTGATCCGAAGAGCGGCTCTGAGTGGAGGGAGTCTGTGAATGAAGCTCTCTGCTTGCTCCAACGTCCTCGTCTTGATGGCCAGAGGATTTTAGTGTGGCCCTTCAAATAAAAGGGTCAGGGCTGCCCCCCTGACCTGGGGAGGTCTGGGAGCCTGGTGAGGATCTCCTAGATGGGACTTCCAGCTGGGTGTCCCTTTGATGTCTCTGCCACTACTAATTTCCCTGCTAAGGATCATCACTTTCATAAARCACAATACAAATTACTAGACAGATAAACTTTAAGAAACCAGAATGTGCTAAAACACAAGCCCCAATTGTTTATTTTATTAAGTTCAACTAACAAAATTTCCATGTCGAATTTCTGGGAAGGGTGAATTTTTCCTGCCACTTTCTACCTTATCTGGCCAAGGCCAGCAGAAGTGTGTGGACAGGGCTAGACCATTCCCAAGGCTCTTCAGGTCATCTGCTCCCTCATACAGACTTGAATGAACCACCAGCCAAGCATGTGCAAGACCACAGGGTGGTGGGAAAGGAGAGGGTCCCAGGGTCGCATGTCCCAATGATGACCTTTTGAAGAACCTGCAGGGCAGATCTGCAGTCCTGATATCAGACTACACCTGGAGGGCAGACACAGACCCACACCTGTGGGGCAGACCTAGACACACACCTGGGAGCAGACACAGATCCACACCTGGGGGCAGACACAGATCCACACCTGCAGGGCAAACCTAGACACACACCTGGGGGCAGACACAGATCCATACCTGTGGGGCAGACCTAGATACACACCTGGGGGCAGATACAGACCCACACCTGTGGGGCAGATACAGACCCACACCTATGGGGCAGATCTAGACACACACCTGGGGGGCAGACACAGATACACACCTGGGGGGCAGACACAGATACACACCTGGGGGGCAGACAGATCCACACCTGGGGGGCAGACATAGATCCATACCTGTAGAGCAGACCTAGATACACACCTGGGGGCAGACCTAGACACACACCTGGAGGGCAGATACAGACCCACACCTATGGGGCAGATCTAGACACACACCTTAGGGGCAGACACAGATCCACACCTGGGGGGCAGATACAGATCCATACCTGGGGGGCAGATACAGATCCATACCTGTGGAGCAGACCCAGGATACACACCTGGGGGGCAGACACAGATCCACACCTGTGGGGCAGATACAGACCCACACCTATGGGGCAGATCTAGACACACACCTTAGGGGCAGACACAGATCCACACCTGCAGGGCAAACCTAGACACACACCTGGGGGCAGACACAGATCCACACCTGCAGGGCAAACCTAGACACACACCTGGGGGCAGACACAGACCCACACCTGCAGGGCAGACCTAGACACACACCTGGGTAGTGACAGACCCACACCTGTGGGTCATACCTAGACTCACACTAGACCCACACCTGGAAGGCAGACCTAGACCCACACCTGGGAGCAGACACAGATCCACACCTGGGGGGCAGATATAGATCCATACCTGGGGGGGCAAACCTAGACACACACCTGGGGCAGACACAGATCCACACCTGGAGGGCAGATACAGATCCATACCTGTGGGGCAGACCTAGAAACATACCTGGGGGCAGACACAGATCCACACCTGGGGGGCAGACACAGATCCATACCTGTGGGTCATACCTAGACTCACACTAGACCCACACCTGGACGGCAGACCTAGACCCACACCTGGACGCAGACAGATCCACACCTGAAGGGCAGACATGGACCCACACCTGTGGGTCATACCTAAACCCACACTAGACCCACACCAGGAAGGCAGACCTAGATTCACACCTGGGGGAGAGGAAAACCCACATCTGTAGGGCAGACAGATCCACACCTGGGGGGCAGACATGGACCCACACCTGGTTGGCAGACCTAGACCCACACCTGGGTGGTGACATAGACCCACACCTAGGGGACATACCCAGACCCATACCTGGGGGGCAGACAGATCCACACCTGGGGTGCAGACATGACCCACACCTGGTTGGCAGACCTAGATCCACACCTGGCGGAGAGGCATAACCCACATCTGTAGGGCAGACAGATCCACACCTGGGGTGCAGACATGGACCCACACCTGGGTGGCGACACAGACCCACACCTAGGGGACATACCCAGACCCATACCTGGGGGGCAGACCTAGACCCATACCTGGGGGGCAGACCTAGACCCACACCACGGAGACAGACCTAGATTCACAGTGGGGGAGACATATAACCCACATCGGTGGGGCAGAAAGAACCCACAAGTATGGGGCATACCTGTGCAATGGCTGCAAACTCTTCAGGGGTGGCTGCGGCTCCTGTCCGGACCCCTCTCTGTGGGATTTCTGGCAGTTTATCTGAAGGGAAAGTTACCAACACTGGGGAACAGGGCCATTAACTCATATGAAATCTCTAGTGGCACTGTGCACACAGCACCTTCAGTATGAGCCTACCCCCTGAGGTGACCTACCCTAGGTACAGGTGACACAGCACCTTCAGTATGAGCCTGCCCCCTGAGGTTACCTACCCTAGGTACAAGTGACACAGCACCTTCAGTATGAGCCTGTCCCCTGAGGTGATTTACCTTAAGTACAGGTGCACACAGGACCTTCAGTGTGAGCCTGTCCTCTAAGGTGACCTACCCCAGGTACAGGGTGACACAGCCTGTCCCCTGAGGTGATTTACCTTAAGTGCAGGTGCACACAGGACCTTCAGTGTGGGCCTGTCCTCTGAGGTGACACACCCTAGACACTGGTGACACAGCCTGTCCCCTGAGGTGATTTACCTTAAGTGCAGGTGCTACACACATAACCACATGGCTAAGAAAATCAGGAGTCGATGCGCAGGTCCAACCCTTGGGGCTGCTTCAGGGTCTCCAGGTGCAAGGAGTCCCTCCCCAGACCCATAGCTGCTGCCCTCAGGCTCTGAGTGGCCACAGGTGGGTGGAGTTGCAGCTAGCCGCTGTCCCAGGCCTCCTGTGGGACCTTCCAGAGCACAGCCAGCCTCCCTCTGCCCCCACAGCCTGAACCTTGAACATCCCAGGTCACTGGGTGCAGCTGGGTGTGGGGACGGATGACATCCACACTGGGCCAATGACCACTGCTACGCTGACTCTCAGGATCCCAGAGCACCCTGCCAGGCATCCTGGTCATCCTCCACCCCTGCCCAGCTGCCGTGGACACTGCTGGCCCCTGCAGTCGTCCTGAAGTGCTGGTGGGAGCACTCCAGGGGCCCCTCACCCACAGCCCTCACCTGGGGACGTGGCCCCACACACCTTTCTCCAGGTTGGCTGCCTGGATGGACATGCGAGGGGCATGACTTCCTGAGAAGTAAGAGGTGTCCACGTCGAAGCCGCGGATGATCCCCTGAATCCCCAGGCTGATGACACACCAGTCGTGACCTGCAGGGCACAGAMGAGCATCCGTGAGCGCCGTACCTGGCTGGAGGGTGGCCACGGGGACCCCTTCCCACCTCAGGGAGACCTGCAGGTCGGCTCCAGCAGGCGACTGCACAGCTCGAGGCCCTTCTCCAGCTCTGAGGGGGGGCAACATTGCTTCTGGGAGCTTCCCTGTGACTGTCACGATACAGACACCCCAGCCCAGCCCTTATCTCTAGGGAGTCCTGTGCCGCCCGGGTGCCCTGCCTGCGTCTGCCCGTCCTGAAGTCCGCGTGTCRCGGTGCTGTCTTCATTCTTTGCTGGCAGACATGAGCCCCCTTAAGATGCCCAGAGTTGTGGGGATCCAGCAGATGTCCAGCTCCCCAGGAAGAAAACTAGAGGCACCCCACTTCTAGGGCTTGAGACAAGGGCAGGAAACCCCACCTGCCCACCTGAGGCCTGGGCTAGTTCACTTTTATAGGCATTTTGGAGACTGACAAGAAGGAATCATTTCAAAGCATCCTGAGGTGACAGGAGGCAGGGTGCGCAGTGGTGCAGGTAGGTGTGGGCTCCGCCCTGGGCCGCTCTGAGGAGTGGACGRGGTGGGCGTGCCCACCTCGGAGTCGCTGGGTGTCGGGTGAGAGGCACCTGCCGTGGCGTCTGCCCGCGGCTCAGGTGGTCCTTGCCCCTCCGGGGCCGTGGACCTCACCAGCATCCACACTTCCCTGCAGTGTTCCCACCTGTCCGCCTGCTGGTGACCAGGGCCCGAGCCACGCCTCTCGACTTCTCAGAGCCTGGCGTCCAGATGGGGCCACGGGATACAGCACCTTCCACCAAAACTGACCCAGCAYACCGGGCATCCCAGCCCCAGCCTGGCCTCCGAGGTGCAGGTGAGCGGCCGGCATCTCCCTACCTGCTGTCCGTCTCCTCCTGGTCTCCCATCCGTCCATCCATTTCCCAAACTCTGTGTACTCGTGCTCTTTAAAGTTTGGGTTGTCGCTCTAGAAGGAGGTACAGGCTGGTGGGTAACACTCCCACGGGGCTGGGCCTCAGCTCAGTGGCTTTAGCCCCAGGGACAAACAGAGGCTCAGGGAGCTACTGCTCCACCACTGCCCACTCCAGGTCGGGGCCCTCGCTGCCTTTGAATCACCGTCAGAGAACACCGTGGGCCTCGGCACAGACTCGGCCGCTGCTGGCAGCAAGTAAGGCCCTCCAGGCCCCACAGAGGCAGCAACTCCCAAGGGATCTAGGTGGCATGGACCAAGCAGGACAGGCCCCTCTGATTTCCAAAGCCACGTGGGACACAGGACGTCGTGACAGGTAATTCTGCCAGGGTGGCATGAGGACAGGCGAGGCTCCGTCCACCTGAACACCTCAGCCCTGCGCTGCCCCATGCCCCAGGAGGGAGRGCGAGGGCCCCTGAGGTCAGTGAAGCCGGGCTCCCTCCTCTGACCAGCAACCGAGCAGCCCCCTGTGTAAGAACAGGAAGAGGACACAGCCCCGGGGGAGCGCGGGAAGCTGAGGCGACCCGGGAGCCACCGCGGAAAGTGTGGACAYTCAGAAGCTGTCAGGCGCATGGTAGGTGGCCACACACGGACCGTTGGCCCTGTCACCGCACCTAGGCACAGAGAGGGTCTTGTGTTGAAGCGATTCCAGTTCTTTCAATTCTAGAAGGTTGGCACAGATTTTGCCAGTTGAGCRTCTCTAACCCCAGACCCCAAATCTGAGGTGTGAGGGTTGGGACTCCTGGACTTTGGTTTTCAGACCAGGGGCTTTCCCCGTAGTAACATTCAAGTGCTGCCCACCTTTACGCAAAATGCCAAGCAAACACCGGGCCTCTCTGTGCTGGGCACGTCTCATGGTCACGCAGGCTCTGGCTGGGAGACAGACTGCTGTGGTCTGCCTCTGACAGCCGAGYAGAACTGGGGCCGCAAGGGCCACACTCCACGGGCCCCTCGGTGTGCAGCCCCTGCTGGCCCTGATGCCTGTGAGCGTCCCAGGCCACAGCTGTCCTGGGGCTGACCCGGCCCTGCTACTGCTCATCTGAGGACTTTGCCTCCTCGCCTGCCCTGCCTGGGAGCTTTGCAGCACAAGACCAGGGGATGAGCAGCTGCTGGAGCAGCCCTCGCCTGAGCCCGGCACCTTGTCTCACCTCGCCGACTTCAGAAGGGAGGGAAATGCGCGCTGGCTGTTGACGCCTCCTATCTGTGCTTCATGTCATGGCAGCCTCGCTGCTGAAGCATGCCCCAGGGTCACAGTGTCCACTCTGTGAGGGACGCGGTGCCGGGCACCCAGTGGCCCCTTCTCCATGGTACTCCTTCTTTAGTTGTTGTTTACATGAAGGAGGCAGTGTGTGTGTGCGTGTGTGGTGACGTTAAGTGTGGCCGTGTCTGTGCCTGCGTGTCCTTGGTGTGTGCAGACGCATGCCTGTGCACACCAGTGCAGAGTGTAAGGAATGGGGCCCCTCCCCAGCCCACCTTCTGGGAGACCCTGCTTCCAGCCTGACAGTGTCCTTCCAACCCCGTGTCCTGCACACACAAGCGGCTCATCCTCCAGTGGCTGTGGGGGAGCCCGGGTCGGGAGGAGCTGTGCTTGTCTGCTTCTCTACTGGCTGACATTCAGGTGGGCTTCACCCTCCAAACAACACCAGAACGAATACTTTTCCATCAGTGCCCAATGGTGCACATAGGTGAATCTGGGGTAGCCAGGTCAAGGTGTGCACACGTGGAAACTGCCCAACCATAGGACTCCTGGWGACAAGGTAAAAAGCCTTGGCATTTGCTTGCTGTGTGACCTAGAACAAGTTAATTAGTATATCTGGTCCTCATTTTCTTTTCATTTCTCCTGAGGAATAAGTAAGTTAATAAATGGAAGCTGCCTTCAGAGTGTCAGGCTCCAGCTTATCCTGGACCCAGACAGAGAGCAACACATTCACCAGGACAACTAGATGCCACCACCCACGGCGCAGGCCAGAGCCCCAGCTGCAGGCACACGGCTCTGCCTGGGAGCCGGAGCCGTCCCCTCCCAGGCCTGTGCCTCTGGGTCTGGCAGGAGACAGGATTCCAGGGTGGCTTCTTCTTCCCTATGTCTGTCCTTTTTTGGGGGGAGTGGGGGCAGGAGTGAACCCAGGGGCACTTAACCCCTGAGCGACATCACCGGCCCTTTTTGTGTTTTTTATTTGGGGACAGGGCCTCTCTAAGTTGCTTAGGCCCTCACTAAGCCTGCTGGGACTGGCCTTGAACTTCACTGCTCCTACCTCTTCCTCCTGAGCTGCTGAAATGGTCCCTATTTTAATGAGAAACTGTCCTACACGTTCTTAACGAGGCAGGTAACGCATTTTCCCAACAATTCAGAACTTGCAGTTTCTTCCCGAGACACACAATGAAGTCCTCATTTGTCAAGGGAGCAGGGCAAGGACCTCAGTGTGTCCCCCTAAGGCCATGTGGCCCACGTTCCTTCCCTAGCTCCTGCTGTCTGCATGTTTCCATGTGGCCACGATGCTGTGCTGGTCAGTGAGAGGTCAGCTAAGGGCAGGGGCCTTCCCACCAGCCTCCTCACACACCACGCGCGTTCACGGTACCTTTATGAGGTTTTCTGCAGGAGCAAAGAAGTCGTCTGTTGAAAATAAAATCTAGACAAAGGGAAAGGGAAGTGAAGATAAAATAGTGTGAACTTAACAACGTTCCATTGGATTCCTAGTGAAACATTATGAGATGCAGGGGAATGTGGACGGGCCCAGGGAGGAGGCTCCGCAGGCAGTGACCTGCTGCTGACCCGTTGGTGCCTGGCTGCTCCTTGCAGCTTGCCCCAGCCTTTCCTCCTGATCCCTTTACCATCTGGACCTCGCACTTGGGAAGCAAATAAACCAGCTCCTTCTTTTCAAGAACTCAGAAGCTTGGGTTTTGTGRCTTTTTCCAACAGCAATGACAATAGGTCTGTATGCCACCCGGGGTCACACCTGAGCTCTGGTGGCCACTGTTTTCTTCCATGGGACTCCAGGAAGTCACCCTCCAGGGAAACTGTCCAGGAGTGTGTCAGCAAGCTGCACGTTTCTGCCGGGGAAAGGGGTGCACCCAGCTGGGCCCCATGAGCTCAGGTGGAAGCCAGGTTTTCTGGAGGAGCCTGTGGTCCCAGCAGCCTGCGGGGAGGTGCCCGGGCTCTGGCTGCCGCCGGGAATCCCAGGGCCAGGGAGGACCCAGCTCTCCTGGTGCTGCCGGCTTCCTGGCAGCTCCCTGGCCCCTGAGTGGGCTCTTGGAGCATCTCTTGCTGATGGATGCCCCACTGCAAGCGCCAGCCAGCTGCAGTGGAGTCCATGTGCTCCACCACCCTGTCCTCGGTGTGGTCACAGCACGGGCTGGGACTTCCCAAGCCTCTCCTTGTAAGGCAAGGTTCCTGGGAGGCCCCTGTGCCCATGGCAGGGACCTTCTCCTTCACATCGAGGCGAGCTTCCTTCCGGGAGAGAATCAGGCCACATCCAAGCTGAAGGGCCACCACGCATTCTGAATTGGCCCACAGAGGGAGAGGGGGTCCCCTCACAGGGCAAGGGGCCTTTTTGAGCATTGAGGCTAGGCCATCCCTGTTCAGGACTGCCTCCACTAAGTAAATCTGTGGAAGCAGGGAGGTGCTCCCTGGCGGGCACCCGTCACCCTGATCGCTGGTGCCAACTCAGTTCTCTGCCCTGGGGAGGGGGACCCCCAGCCTGCGGGCAGGAAACCCTGGCTGCTCCCTGAAGGCCGCTTACCTTTCCTCCCACAGACTCGGAGGCCATGTCGACCAGCTGGGCAAAGTCCAGGAATCGGGTCAGTTTCCCCTCCTTCGAAGCATCAGCCATGCTTCCTGGAAGCCAGAAGGCAGGTGCAGTGAGCCTCTGCAGGCAGAAGGGCCGCGGGTCTGCCGGCAGGAGGACCCCAGCCAGGCTCCCAAAACCAAGCTCAGAGACATCAGAGGTGAGGGGTGACAGAGCTGGGCTTACTGTCACCTGGGGGGCATGAGTGTCTTTGTATGAGCACGCCAGAGGAGGGCGTGAGAGAGGGCTTGCTTTGAGTCAAGGGCACCAGACACACAGTCCCACCACTGCAGACCTGCAGCTTGTGTCGTGATTAAAGCAGAGAAGTCATTCTCACGTAGAAAAGCCACTTTTACCGTCTGTGGGTGCATTCAAAACACCACCCAGCAACTGGGTGACAAGGCCTGGCTAGCAATGGGGCAGAGCCGAGGACACCCCTCTGCCCACAGGAGCACCCCGTGCAGGACGGACACCTGCAGACGCACCTCCACCACACTGGGGCTCAGAGACAGGACCTCGGAGCTCTCTCCATGCAGGACTCAGGACTGTGCCGGCACCACCAGGGGMCAACAGGAACCTAGGCCAATCCCAGCACCAGAAGAAACAGAGACCTGAAGGAGCCAGGCGGCCCCAGACTGTACCCCTCAGCCAGCGGGTGCCTTGTGCTCCTCCCCTTTCTTCTGCTCCTCATGGAGAAAACAGAAAGCCACATAAAATCCATGATTTCTATTAAGAATTATTCCTAGGATTAGGATGTCGCTCGGTGGAACAGTACTTGCCTCGCAGGCATGAGACCCTGGGCCCAAGTCCCAGGACCACCAAAAAGGAGAACAATTCTTTTTTTTTTTTTTTCGAGATATTTACTCAATTTTATTAGAACAAGCAGAACTCCCATCTCCTCATTCTTGCTTGTCTATAACATTGATGACCAGATATGGCTTTGACAGGTAATCCAGGATCAAGTTTCTCAGTCCAAAATGCCAACTACCCTCTTTGCTAGGAGAACGATTCTTATTCATAAAAGAATAAATGACAATAAATACAATCAGCAGGGGATTTCCCTTGAAATTGCACAATTAATCATGAAATATTGAGCTTCCTATGAAACACTGTGTGTAACAGACATTCCCCGCATCTGTTCTGAAGGAGAACAGAACGGATAATCCAAAGAGTGACTTGGTGACATGGCACCTGAGAAGGGGGGATCCAGTCTCCCTCCTAAGCAGCAGACTCGCATGCTACCCACCAACTGGAAACCCCTCCCTGGGACGTCTAATCAAATGTCAGAGCTGAAGTGTCCGACTCTCTGCTGCTGCTGGTCCCGAAGGGGCCCCACCCTCAGCCTCCACACCCCAGCTGGTGGCCACCCCTCCTGCAGCCACTGGAGCAGAGCCCTGGGGTCAGTCTCCCTGGCCCCTGCCCTTCACAGCACCTGCCCTCTGTGGTGCAATCTGACTCGGTGTCTGAAACTCCCTTCCTCTGAGAAGGTGGGAGGTGGGAAGGGCGTGGGCCAGACACAGCTGGCCTCGCGTGGACGCGGCGCTGTAGCAGGCCGGCGGGCTAGTGCGGGTCTGCGCGCTGGAATGTGGTTTCCTGCTCTGGATGTGTTTGCCGTCTTTCCACATCATGCACACACACCACGAGGAGCCGGGGGGACAGCACCCTCGCCACCCCTCGGTGGCCTCCTGCGGCCACCCTCCCTCCCTCTGCAGTCTGCTCTCGGCCCAGCACCCTCAGGGATCTTTCAGAAACAGTCAGCTGCTCGGACCCTCTCCATCAGCACGCCTGGTCTCCCGTGCCTTCCACCACCCCAGCTGCCTCTCCCTCCCTGGCCACAGGCATGCTCYACATCAAGCCCCTCCTCGGGCCACCCCAACTCTGAGACTTCACAGTGGCCGTTCCCTGTGCTGAGAATGCTCTTCCTGACAGCCTGTGACCTGCTCACTCCCTCGGAGCCTCTGCTGGACTCCCTCCCCACGAGACTGGGCTGCCCCCACTCAGTGCCGTGCCCACCGCCCCAGCCTCCAAGGCCCCTGCCAGACCCACCATTAGGTAGGCACAAAGCGTGACTTGCTGTCTGCAACCTCTGTCCCCTGCCTTTCCAGATTCAGTGCCTGGCCTCCAGGGCAGTCTTGTCTGCTTTGTGTCCCCACTGTGTCCCCAGGGACACACAAGATGTTTGCTCAGAGGGTGGAAGGGTTTCACAACACTGGCTCTGGRGAAACCCTTGCTGAGGGTGGAGAGGTGCAGGCTGAGAGAGACACCCACGTTTACTGCATGTGCAGCTGTCACCATGCGTGTGTGCCTGTCACCAGGCCTGCGCGGCTGTCACRTGTGTGCACAGTTGCCCTTCATGGTCTCATTTGAATCCTCAGAACCTGCGACATTATTAGTATAGTACTGGTCACCTCTTGCTAACAAAGAAGACACAGCTCTGGGGGTCAAGTGACCTGACTCAGCCCACAGCTGAGGAGCAAAGACCAGTCAAACGTGACCGGCACCGGACGCCCTTACAGTGCTGGCAGTGGTGAGMGCTGTCGGTGCTCCTCAAACAACAACTTCACTGACTGCGGTGAAGTGGCGCCCTCCTCCACCGAAGCCTTCACTGGGCTGCTCCAGAAATGTCCACCTTGGCTGACGGAGGACTCTCAGCCAAAGACTCTGCAAGAGTTCCATGTAGACAAACTGCCTATTGTCATGTCACCCTGCTTCACTTGGCCACTGGCCGGGAARATGGGCACTCCGGGTGCTGGACACCCCCTTACTAGTTTTTCACAAACGTGTGTCCAATGTGCAAACCAGGCCTCTGGCCTTGAGCTGGGCTCCACAGAGAGGTCTAATTTCCAAGAGAAGTCACAACTGGGCCCATGGCAACAGCTGGCAGGGGAGGGGAGAGGGGGAAGAAGCTCTGCCCTTCCCGGTGCCCTTGAAGGGTTAACTTGCCCAGAACAGTGAAGGAAAACGCTGCTTTATGTGAACTTCTGCAGACTGTGGCCTTGTGAGCCCCTCCTTACAGGTTGGGTGTAAAACTCTGAAACTCCCTGAACTCGGGGTTCAGGGGATTGATTCATTACAGCAGAAGCTGTGCCCTCTGAGCCTGGCTGCAGCCACATAAAACTGTTTCCTGCTGTCTTTGGTGTCTTGCCCCGTCTGTCCCTAAAACAGTGGGTCTGTGGCTCCAGAGCTCCCAGAATCAGACCCAGTGACACCAGCTGGCTGGTGACACTGAAGCTGTGAAGGTGACCACTTGTGGAAATGCAGGGACAGGGCATGCTCAAGGCACTATGGCCGCTGAGCACACACCCAGGGGACTTTGGAGGCTCAGGAATCGCCCTTGAAGAGGGGCTTAGAATGAGAGGAGGAGCAGGGCAGGCGGCAGCAGCCAACACAGAGGTGCACAGGTAAAGKGCCCCCAGGACGAGAGCTGGTGACAGCCTGTGTCTGCCCCTGCATCATCCCACGGGAAGCCACCAGCACACATGGAGAGCTGACAAGCTTAAGCAATTAAAATTAATTAACACAACTTCTAATCCTGTCCCTCCTTGGTTCTARTCACCTCTCACATTCTCAGTGGCCACATGTGGCCTCTACACTGGACAGCCRGGTATAGGACATGCCCATGACCACAGTGTGGGGCATTCTGGGAAAGCTCTGGAAAGACAGGTGCAGAGCCCCCACCAGTCACTTGCAGGGGAAACAGAATCAGAAGCAGCAGGAAACCACAACACAGACACAGCCTGCGTGGACTCTGGAAGTAGCGCTACTGCAAGAAGAGGGTTCAAGATGGCGGGCTAGAGGAAACTGCATTCCTAGTCATTCCTTAGCTCAACCAGTGGAGTACTGCTTCTCTGTGAGGTGGGTGAAAGAGGAATTTTACTAAAACTAACATTGGACAGTCAGAGTGTCTTAGAGATTCCGACATTTAGGTACATTAAGCCAAGAAAAAAGACTCCCTCGRAGCCAAGCCAGCTGCAGCAGGGGTAGCAGCTCTGGCTAACACAGAGGGAGGAAGAACACAGAAAAACCCAACGGACAGATTAAGTACGGAAAATCCTGGGGTCAGAAAAGCGGCCTGCCCTTAGCTGATCCAGAGGCTGCAATGTGCACTGGGCATGAAAAGTGCCCTGAGTTCCCAACTGGCCTGGAGAACTGAGGCAGGAGCCACCTTAAGGTGGCCATGCTGCACCTGCTGCGCTGCAGGAGCCTGGAGATCTGAGCAAACACCGCTAATCGGTCCTGACAAGCACCTGCCACAAGGCCTAGCAGAATAGGAGTAAAACAAGCACAGAGCCCATTTTACCCAGGGGGATTCAAGTCAGGAAAGCAAAGAGAAGTTCAACTCACTTACCTCTTGGAGTCCGGCAGCTCACATGACCAGCTCACGTGAATAGGTGGCTGTGAGTACACTCAAGGGCTAAGCCTGGGAAGCCCGGCAAAGCTGTGATTGCCGCGGCAGAGAGGGTGAAGGATTGGCTCTCCTGACCCACTAGCAGAATCCTAGGGAGACTCGGGAGGTCCAGACTCCCAGCAGAGACTAGAACTTCCAGGCCCTGGAGGTGTGTTGATCTAATCTCTCCAGAGCAGAAACCACCCAGCAAAGACCCTGAGGCTGATTAGGCCTAAGCCCCAGCTGCTGGGACTGGCTCATAGACCCTGCAGCAGCCCCTCCCTGGGCGTGCACACTGACCTCGTCTGTGTGGACAAAACTCCACTCGCCAGCACTTCCCATCCCATCCTACCTCATCTGGGGAGAAGAGAAGCTGAGAATTATTTGAAACAGCATCAATCTTAGGCCACTCTAACTGGAAGCTTGGTGAGTGACATAAAAAGAGAAAGGGGTTAATGACCCCAGCCCTTGCTCTTGCTCTCAGTACAGAGCTCAAGAAGAAATGGAATGGACAGTCAGGCRTGGGCAGTGACCATCTATTCTCATCGACTATTTTGACCACCTTAGGGCAGATAATTCCTTCATTTTTCATTAAGAATCGTTTGGTGGGGTTAGTTTGTTTTTGTGTGTGTTTCTTGTGCTGACTAGTTTACACATA